GGCCAGAGTTGGAGATCGTCCTCCTTATCGCCATACACATGGTATCTTAAGAAGCCGAGGGCGGTCATCTTGTATTCGGTGATATAATCCTTCACGCTCCTCGGCCCCCCTTCCAAGAAAGCCTCCACCTGCGCGTCCAAGATAGAACTCTTCGGCGGGTCATGCAGATTGAACCTCCCGGTATGGCCGAGAGAGGGAAACTCGGTGCCACTCTCACCAAGGGATACAAAAACGAACTTGCTCTTCCACCCATGAATGGACGAAGGCAAGTCCGTGAAGCTCCTCTTCTTCGGCAGTTGTTGAAGGGTAGCATAGGCCGCACAGTTTTTGTGGCTTCCTCGGCCTATCTGATACAGATTCATGAACAGGGCCGTCGTCGGCCTGTATCCCAGCTCCTCACAACGGAGCAAAAACCCCACCATCAATGAATAGCTGTTCGGCGTCAGCAAGGCCGGAGGGAGCCCCACCATGTCAAGGTATTCAGTGATGAAGGGATGAAGGGGAAACCTCAACCCCTTAGCGAAACTCACCGGGTATACTCCAAAGTATCCCGGTGGCGGATGAAGAACATGGTCCGTCGGCCTGGGTGCCCTAACCCGCCCGAACGGCCCCACGTACATCTGGGCAACCAAGTAGTCGGCCGTGCTGCTCTCCGGCTTGATCAGGAAGATGTTAGTGAGATCCAGGTAGGAGATGCCCGACCCACTCTTCGGCCTCCTTATTCTCTTCGGCTTATCTGCTCCCTTCACGGCAGACACCGGTCTCGGGCATGGAATGACAGCGGAAGTGGACGCCCCGTCCACCACTCGTGACGCACCTGCGTCCTCACCTTTTGAAGACGAGGCGGACTCCTCGTCCTCGACTTCGTCGTCCACCGGCTCTCCGGACTTGTAAGGACTTAAGTGTTGTATCTCCTCCTCGAACTCCTCGAGCACCTCATAGTCGAGTGACCTAGTGGAGGGCTGGTCGTCGTACAGATAGTAGTCTTCGTTCAAGCTCTTCATCATAACAACTACTACGAGCCTAAGGGGAGTAACTTAGGATCTAAGGGTGTTCAAGCGCCTAACACTAGATCACTAGCCTAGGAAGCAAAGTATGCAAAGTACAGAAGATGGCGATGAACACTAACCTTGAACACGAAGAACACGAAGAACAAGCTTGGGAGTTTATCTCTCTAGAAATTTGGCCAGCACTTCGACAACTAAGAATGCAAATGAGTTTTCTCGTCGGAGGGGGAGGGGTATTTATAGAACCCCCCACCCAACGGTCACTACACGTGGCACCCTCCCAATGGCCACATCAACGGCCACCAATGGGAGGCCACCACGTCACCAACGGGCCAAGCTACATATCAAGAGCCCAATAGCGAATCAGACTTTACGGCCTACACACTGGCCGGCTCCACAAGTGCCAGCAAACGCCCATAACGGCCTGTTCACTTGCCAAGTTCACAAATGCCAACAATAAGGAGAGGACAACGGTCAGGAATGTCATGAACGCCCATCGGCTCCCCGTAACGACCCTTGATGATAACTCTCTACAAGCGATCTGCGCACAAGGGTTCTCCCACAGGGTTACCTTGGCCAGAAAATCGCCATGAGGGTTGGAATCAGGGGGACTACGGAGAGGCCGCTTCGGCCAGGGACTCAAGCAACTCCTTCACCCCTCACTCTCTTCGGCCTGAAGCAGTGGGGGACTGGGGGACTACACCGGCCTCAACAAAACAAAAAGGAAAAATGCAAAGAATATAACCACAAAGCATGGCCACATCGTCGGCCAAAGGCACACAGCGTCATCAGCAACGGCCAACTGGCCACCTAAGGCAAGGACACTCATCGTCCTCCGCCAACAGTTAATCATGATGGGCTCCTCGGCCAGGGACACGAAAGCCAGTCAGCTACGGCCAAAAGGAGTGCGCAAGCACCCTTACCGGCCACCCAAAGGAAAGGACACTATCGCCCTCGAAGCAAGGTCCAGCCTCAACAGCCTCATCGGCCCAAATGTAAACTTCAACAATCAACGTCCAAGAAAGGGAAAGCGCGCCTTCAACGGCCACCATTGAAGCAGGACACTCATCGTCCCCAAACGAACACATCAAGGAAACAACGGCCTCCCCGTCCACAACGAGGAGCAGGTAACGGCCAAAGCACAGAACAGGATCACCAAAATGGAAACAGCGCCAACGCCGCAACAGCTAACGGCCTGGAAATGCCCGCATCGGCCAAAAGCACTAAAGCACGGGAATCTACTCTCCTTCACTTCGTCTACGTCTCAGCTTAGAGAGTGGGGGACTCCTGATGGAGTATATGGGTCCGAGCCCCTGGACCCACATACTCAGAAGAACAGAAAGCACAAGACACCGAGTGGCGCCCACGTCGGCCAAGGGACCCCCGTCGGCCAAGGGACCCCCGTCGGCCGAAAAGGTGCCAACTCAGATTATGGTCCTGAGCCCAAGGAACCCGGGTGCCCTCGTCGGCCGCGCCCTCGTCGGCCGGCCGTGCCCTCGTCGGCCACGCCCTCGTCGGCCACGAAGACCTCACAGAACCGGATTTTATACTTACTCATTCGTACAGCCCATTAGTGGCTTTGTATTCGGCCCGGTAGCGGTCCAGTTGTAAATGGGCCTCCCAAGCCCAAGGCTTGGGAGCCCAGCCCGTATTTTCTCTATAAATACTCCCCTTGGGAGTAGTTATAGGGGTAACAAATTCATTCTATTGAAGCATATTATTGCACTTCTCTCTCTAGCTCTCACTTCTCTCTAGATATACTCTATCACCATCTTAAACATATCTTACTTAAATGGCTAAACTCTGCCTAATCTACCTAACTTGTCTTCATAATCTGAATAACTTGCCAATTTTTAAGGATTTTTTATCTCAAATGTAGAATTACGAACAAACAACCTGCCTATATTTTGGGTTGGCTAAAAAACACTTTCTTGACAGATGTTTTGGAAGGTAAAAACAATGCTTTCATGGGAATAGCTAAAATCTGCCCAAGATGTATACCTTTACATCTTATAAAATAATCTCTTGAAATGAAACCAATGAATTGTCAGTTTTTGCTAAACTCTATCAATTTGCCTAGTTTTTTCTTCTCTATATACTAAAAACTAAGAATTATATTGTAGGTGATTTATACTCTAGAAAACGTTTTGAATTTCTCAACACTAACTAACTTGGTGATTATCATTCTAAGTGACAGCTATATATAATCTTAAACATATCTTACTGAAATGGCTAAACTCTACCTAATTTGCCTAACTTGTCTTCATAATCTGAATTACCGGTCAATTTTATTTTGTTTTTTAATGTCAAATGTAGAATTACAAACAAACAACATGCTATTTTTGGGGGTTGGCTAAACAGATATTTCTTGAAAGATAATTTCTGGAAAATGAAAACAATGATTTAGTGGGCATAGCTAAACTGTGTCTCAGCTGTATATCTTTTAATATGCTATTATAATATCCTGAAATGATATCATTGAATTGTTGGCCTTTCGTTACTCTATCACACTGGCTATTTTATTCTTCTTTGTATACTCTAGTAAACTTTAAGATTAAGTTAAAATGCTTTTCGACTTAATCTGCTAAAATAATATCCTGAAATGATATCAATGAGTTGATGCGACCTTGGCTTACTCTATCATGTTGCCTATTATATTTTCTCTGTATATACTCTAGTAAATTTTAAGAATTTTGGATTTTTCTTCCTTTGCTTGTGCTTCTTAAACTGGTGTTTACATTGTGCTTTTTCAAGTCTTTGGCCTGCTAAGATGAATGTATTGAATGTACCCCTGAGCTGCTCAAATAAAATATCTTAATTAAAAAGGTAAAAATTGCAGCTTAGCAAAAAAGCATCATGTTTGGTTTTGAGTGAGCTACAATTTTCAATTAGGGGACTACCTTTAGAGCTGCAATGTTCATGACTAATGAGTTGAGGACAAAAGCCCTCTATTTGTTTTTGGATAAGTGATATTTTCATCTAGGGGATTAGCTCGAAGCCTGGAACCATTGCTGCCCAAAATCTTCTCTAATGGGTGCCAAGCAGCTTCAGGAGGTTTTGACACTGTTCTCCTTTGCTTACACTTCCGGAAGCTGTATTCCCATTTGTTTTCCTCCTTTTCTATTTTCTCCTTTCAGTAGCTTTAGTTATTATACTCTGTACTTTTTAAGGAATTATATGAACTCTAGACCTTGCTTATACTTCTAGAGTTGTATGTTGATTTGCTTTTCTCCTCATCAACACCCGTAGGCAAAAAACTTTAAATGAAGGAAGAGAGGTTGAAGGACGGAATGAGTTCAGTTGTAATGAGGTCCTTATTTATTTATAGGGAAAATGGAGAATCTTTCCTTGAGAAGAATCACATTTCCCAAGGACAGGCTGGCCATAGTAAGGGTTGGTGTGCTCACACCCTCCAAGACACAGGTTGACGGGATTTGATTAATGCTGTTTTTTACTTATAAAGTGTTACTAAAGTTGAAGATGATGTATACCATTTACTATTCATTTTACTGTTTGACTTTGTACTATGCCCGCTTTCACGGTAGGTGATGTATACCATTCAATATACATCATGCTAAAGTCCAATCGCCATTTTAGGGATGCTTGGCCGAAAACTTTTCAACTTCCATTATTAATTCTTATTGTGCAATTTTACATTACACCAGAGCTATTTTAGTAATTTCCAGCCATGCACTCTCTTACCTTAAGACTTTGGGAGAGAACATTGTTCAAAGAATAGTGTCAAAAATCTTTTGTTTTTATATAATGATAGATATTCACTATTTATGTAAAGTAATTGAACAATTAGACTACTTGTATTCATTGAAATCAATATATTTTTCTTATAATCCGTATTAGACAAGTTACATTTCCACTTATCTGCTATTACATTTCTTTACACACGAATTACATCATTATTTTACCGCAGAATATAAAAAACAAAAAAAGTTACAAGAGTATTAAACGTTTTTGCCTGTGTGAGTGGGCTGCTCCCACCTTATACCAACTGCTCTGAGTCTCAGATAGTCCCTAATTCAGTCCATCTATCTCTGACAAGTTACAACGCTGCCCAATTCAGTGCACTTTCACGCTGCAGGATTAACCACTTGTACCTGCTTTTTTAACCCCGATACTATGGCTGCGGCAAGGGCGGTGGTGCTGCACCGACCCGTGACCTTTGTGACCGGAAACGCGAAGAAGTTGGAGGAGGTCCGAGCTATCCTCGGTGGATCAATCCCTTTCCAATCCCTCAAACTCGAGCGTATGCCCTCAAGATATTCTTCTTTTCGTTTATAGTCCTACTTACAATATGTGCATATCTATGCAATGACGCACGCGTTCGTGAACTCTAATTCTGTTTTTATTTATTGAATATTAGTTCCAGAGCTACAAGGAGAACCAGAAGAGATTTCCAAGGAGAAGGCTAGGCTTGCTGCTAAAGAGGTATAATGCTTGATGCACCGTGTACAAACCACAATGCAGCAATTTATATTATTTATTGAATCCTTTTCATTTGATTGAGTAACTATAGTGTGTGTTTTTCGTATTTGTAAAAATCACCAGCAAGAATTCTTACTTTTCATACCAAAGGGTTAAAATTTGGTATTTGTGGTGAGGAGTTTGGTCAAGAATTTTAAATTTACTCAGTATCTGTTTCATACCAAAATTTAAAATTGGTTAAAGTTCAGCCATTACTTTTAAATTTAGATGTTTGATAATGAATTTGTCACTTCAGTTCAATTTTGGTTAACTCTGAACTCTGAAGTTCTTTCAATCTCAAGAAAATAAATAAACAATAGCAAATACTCCTTGATAATCAGTAAAAGCACCTTTTCAAATGCGTACTTTTCTGAAAAACTTTATTTGGTGCTTGTAGTCCGTCTAAAGTTCTTTACTTCTTTCAACTCTATTAAACTCCGTATGTAAAGATCGTTGATTACCAATTCATTAAAATAACTTTTACGAGTATTGCTTTGTAGACTTGTAGTTTGTATGATGAAGAATCAACTTACTTTTTAAAAATTTGTCAATAGTGCTTTTTCCTATTCAAGTCATTCCAAACCAGCTCACAACAATAAACATGAAAGGGTAGTTATGGCTATGATATTTAACTTATTTCTATTGTGAAAAACAACATCACATTTTTGTTTTCTATTTATCAGATTTGGTATATAATCTATTTGTTATCTTCAGCCTAAAGTTAGATACAGAAATGTACCATGATGAAATTTTATATTCTGTAGTTTCTACTCCATTTATGTAAAAGTGAATATGCCATTGGCATATTAAATGTCATGTTTAATCAAAAGTGCAACTTCTAAAATTTGGAACTGTTTTTATATTTTATAAATTGGTGTGTTTGTTTAACTAAATTTATCATATTTAGGCATTTAGCTTATTCGTGACTCACCTTTTAGTCGTTTACTAAACTACATAAAAAATTAGCAGTGTCGTTAAATGGCAGTCATAGCAATCTCGGTGTGCCCGAAAGTGGGTTTAATGCATGTATTATTTATTATGAATTATCTATTAATTTGAGGCTTATGCAGTTGGGACCCCGAGGCCGTCCCCTTAGAATCTGATTTCTCCTTACAAAATCATGCTTTAAAGGGATGCAACTTTTGTTTTGCCAATACTATTAAGACAGGAGCTTTTTGAAGAGCTTCAATTGTTCAAATATGCAATCGTAAATTGATTTTTTTGTTTTGTTGAGTTGATAGGTTAATGGACCCGTGCTAGTGGAAGATACCTGTCTCTGTTTCAATGCATTGAAGGGACTTCCAGGTGCTTATACCTAACTCATCTTTATCTTTTCTTGTTTTATAGTTTATATTTTGCACCCACACTCTTTTATGCCTCTAAAAGTGTTTAGTGATATTAATTATTTCAATATGCTTTTGCAGGGCCTTACATGTAAGTTTATATTGGACCTGTTCTTGAGGTGATGTGTTACTTTTGTTATTATGAGTTCCCCAATGTTTTATAGGTCGAATGAAGCTTCCTATAAGGCTGTATTGGTCTAAATTATTGCTAAAAGCAACTATATGCTTACTAGAGCCTGTAAATTTCTTACTAATGTGTCTTTTATTGCTCTCTTGTGTGTGATTCTCACTTAAGAAAAGATGAATGTAATTCTAGAAGTACTCCATCACTCACCCCATCAGGCTTTTTTGGCCTTTTGGCCTTTTGGGTAATGTTCACTTTCCTATTTTATTTATTTTTGTTCTTAGTATATTTTTACATTTGTCTAGTCTCTGTGCATTTTACATTTGTCGAAGTCTGGTCTATTTAAGTCTTTGTTGCCCCATTTTTATTTTTATTTTCTCCAAAGGCCAAACTTGAAACTGACGAACTTCACTTTTAAAAAACAAAAAGCGGTCTTTTGCAGTCACCATTCTTGTGTGCGGATTTATAAGAAAATATAAAATGCGAATGTTAGTCTTATCTAAATCACCAAGCAAGGTCCTTCTCTGCCAAGCTCAAGATACTTAAGAAACTGAAAAGTAGCAAATCCTGATAATTCTATCCATCCTTAGCCAATTAATCAATTATCAGCCAATTGATTCCCTTCTCTCCATATGTGGTTAAGATCAAGATTGGATGTCTCATGCCTCTTTATTGAACCTATTCTGTTCCAAAAGAGTTTTTAAAAGCCAAGCTTCTTTTCTGTTTCAACCCAAGTTCCCATTAATTGCAACCACATCATCATCATCATCAATACCCCAGTGCCGCAAAGGCTCTCACCTACGGTGGGGTAGGGGGAGGTCGGATGTACGCAGTCTTACTCCTGTACTAAGGATGTTTTTACTTGGATTGTAATTCCTCCCAAATCAGTTCAGACCAGACCGGACTTGGATAGTTATAAAAATACAAAGAAACCAGACCAGCAAATTACAGTCCAAGTTAAAACATCCTAAAGCATAGAGAGATTGTTTCCAGATGACCCATAGTGAAAATCGCGTCCAAAATTGCATGGACTGACCGCAACTTCATAACAAAGAAGTGCAGACAGTTTAGTGAGCCATTACCATTAATTGCAACCAAAATGTCTAATTCCTCAATAAGGGGGTGTTTGGAATTGATTCTGCTTCTGCTTTTGTTTCTTTTTTAAAGCAAAAGCAGAATCAGAATCAGTTTTCAGAAGCTGGTCACCGCCAGCTTCTAAAAAAACTGATTCTAGGAGTATATTAGAGCACCAGAATCACTTCCGCACTTTTACCCAAACACTCCAACTTCTTCTTCTACTCCCTGAAGGAGCAGAAGTAGTTTTAAGAATTAGATCCAAACACCCCCTAAGTCTGCCATTACCCTTCTATGTGGCCAACTGAACTGCCTGACTGCCCGTCTGAGTTTGCAGTAAACCCATAGACACTTTGTGTAATTTCCTTTCATAAAATTCCATGTTTTTGGTAACACTTCATTTCTTCTTTTCCAAATGAACTAAAGAATGATAATGGGAAGGTTTTGTATTTCCACATTACCTTTGGGGCACTGAAACGGCCAGTTCCTATGAAGAGCCTTAACAGAACAGGTCTAACATTTAATCATGTGTATAAGTGAGGAATAACTCCCAGCTTTACCTAGCATGTTGCAGAAACCATAGCGGAAATAATCAGTGGCCAATGGATACCTAATCAGCACAACACAGGCACTTGGAAGCATGCTTGACACGTAGCCTGGCTTGCAAAACACTATCCTCGGGAAGTAATGCATTCCATAAATTCCATATAAAGCCAAAGGTAGACATTTTGGGGGGAAGCCACTTATTCCATGAGTATTTGAATCCAAGCTGAAAAGCCACAACTCATCTAGTTTGACCAATGAAGGCTTAAGACTCAACTCACCTGACTTAGAATTGCTCCCAATAATTGTGCTTTCCTAGTAATAGGGACCAGCAACATCTTCTCAAAAGTACTGGTGGGAAGAGCTGCAATTAGCCTCTTTCTATTCTGACTACAATTAACCCAATAGTCCTTTATTCCCTTTTCATGGCTCGAGTTACCAGCACACTGCAGGAGTTTGCCTTTTGGCAGCCTGTAGTCTCCCCAAGATGTCAGCTGATCCAAATCATCCAACCACCCATGCAGTTTGCTCCTCTGTCAGATCCAAACTTTTCTTCTTCATTCTTTTCCAAAAACCAGAATCGCCATATTCACCCCTACCAAAGATGGAGGGAGCTTCTTGCAGCGTTTCAACATCAGAACCTTACTCCACATAGAAGTTTGAGATCTAATCTCCACCACAACTTTGCAGACTATGGCAGTAGGTACACAAGATTTATCACGTGAAACTCTTAAGATTCTTTTTGGCACTCTGGTTGCTGACCAACAGGAAGATATTGAACATGATCTTTAATCTCTTTAAAAACTCCGTTTGGGGTTCCAAATAGACAGTGGTGGATGCATCAGCTAGACAGGCATGGATGTCAGCAGAGGTGGATGCAGCGGGGGCAAGGGGTGCCTTCTAACCTAACCACACCTGTCCCTGATATAGCTAATATACATGTATGTGTGTATAGGGAAATGATCACATCAGGCCCTTTGACGGGATTCTTGTCAGGCCTATTTCTTTTTTGGCCATTTGATCAGTTCCTCATTAGAATTATCTATTAATTTTTACCCTTCATTCTTAAATTTTTTCTAAGATACACTACAAACTTACTTTCTCACCTTTTACAACTTATCTAACGGCTACGATTAGTTTATTGAACTTTCCGATTGCACCAAAAAATTCAGAAACTACTTGTCCTTTCATCCTTAATTTATGTGTATAACGTAATCAATTTTTAATTACCTACATAAGATTTCATAAATATTTTTTCTACCTAGGTTATTATTTCTCACTTTCCATCATTTGCAATGGAGCCAAAGAGTCACTATTTTTTTGGCTTGGGATTATGATGGAATAGATCAAGATGGCTCATTGAACTGTCTGCGCTTCTTTATAATCAAACAACAGTTGGTCCATGCAATTTTTGACGTAGTTTTTGTGTGCTTTAGTACAGGGGTAAGACTGCTTTATTATTTCTCACTACATTTAGAACACGTTGTTAATGGAGTGGCGTAATTATCGTTATATGAGTTACCATTATAGTTTTAGTTTGACACTTTGACCAGCATAGCTACATGTTATGGGTTAACCACTTGATCCGAAATTCCAAACACGTGATTCAAAAGAACCAACCTGCAACAACAACATCCAAACCTTATTTCCAAAAGATTTCGGGGTCAGCTAGCATGAATCGATCCATGATATTACAGTCAAAAAGAGAAGATACAAAAAACTAAAAGATAAGATATGATAAAGATAATCATAAGATACAAATAACATAAGAACATAAGAAAAAAAAATATAAAAAGATAAAAGACCATAAGCAAGATAAAAGATAAAAAATATAAGAACATTGAAAGATAAAGAAGATAATAGATAAAAAAGAGAGAGAGAAAAGAGAGAAAAAGAGATTAATTGTCCACACAAATATGTGTCATCCACTTTGCTCTCTCCAAAGTCATACTCCCATCTAACCCAAGAAGAAGCATATATGTTCTGATCTTCTAATCCAAGTTTGTTAGAGTCTTCCTCTCCCTCTCCTCATGCCTCTTCTCCCAACCATGTAGTTTGGAAGCGTATACTGTACAACCAGCTGTACGATGCCAGCCGTACAGTCAGTGGCAGTTTTATAATTTTGGCGAAAGACTTGGCTTCTCTTGAATGAGCATTAATGCAATTTTGGTGAGCATCAAGCCTGTTCTCGTAAGTATTAGGAGCCTAAGAATGAGCATCAATGTTCTCTGCTTCATATCTTCTAATTCACTTTCTTTTTATTATTTGTTCGTTTGTAAAAAGTTCTTAAATCATGTCTATAATCAATTCTTATTAATTTGAATATGTGAATCTAATGTAGTATGATACATTTGGAATGTGCAAGATTTTAAAATGAGCATAAAGCGGTACCAAATGAGCATACATAACTTACAAAATGAGTATCAAAAAATTCAAAAGCTCATTTGTGTATGCACATTCATTTTGCATGTATACTCATTTGAGTTTAATATAAAACTCGTTTGAGATCAATAACAACATAAGATTGCGCAGCAACGACGTAGACTCTCCTTGTCTCCAAAAATACAAGCTCAAACAGCAAAACTACGCCGGCAAATACGCTTGAAAGAAAGAGAGAGGGAGGAGAGGGAACTACGCCAGCAGAGAAGGGGGCGAGTGATGAGCACTGGCGACGAGCAGCGAGGTGGAAGAGAAGGGGGCGAGTGGTGAGTGTTGGCGATGAGCAGTTTGCCTGGTGCGAAATCAGATCGAAGAAGCAGGTGTGAAGTCCGGTGTGAAGCCAGATCAGAGAAGTCTGGTGCAAAGCCAAGAAGCGCAGAAGCCTAAAAAAGCCTGGCTGAACCGTGCGCACGGTACAGCCGGCTGTAGGATATATTTTACAATGTAGTTTCAGTCTAATTGAATTGGCTACTCATAAAATAGCTTCAGCATTTTCTGAACTTTGAAAGGGGTGTTTCAACTTTTCAAGATAGATCATGTGAAAGGATTGGGGAACAAATCTATCCCATCTCTGTACGATCAGGTTCTTTTCTATCTGGAAGAATAATGAGACTTTTTTCTACACTGATCCTCAGACCATACACATCTTCATAGATCTTTAACAACGCCTTAATTGTCTGACCTGAGCTCTACTGGCCATTGGTGAAAAGAATAATATCATCAGCAAAGCTTAGGTGGGAGGTAAGGGCATGCCCTTCATAGAAATGCACCATAGATTTGTTCTGCAAGAGTAACTGATTGAGATCCATACAAATGCACCATAGATTTATTATTTTATTGTGCAAGAATAACTGATTGAGATCCATAGAAGTGCACCATAGATTTATTCTGCAAGATTGATATCCCTAAACTAAATCTCAGCCATGATATGAACAGTGTAACCTCCCTCTGCAAATAAAAACAATTCACCTTGAGCAAGTAGACTATTATCCGCAATAGATTTGTTAGGGCTAAAGCCATTTTTTGTTCACCTTTATCTACTTGAGAACATATCCAACACAAATGTATCTTCCAATGTAGACTTGAGGGAGAATAAGCTTTGTCTGTACTCAGGATATGTTTGACTGTGTTGGCCTATACTACTATTATGTCTTTCTGCAGGGTTTAGTTAATTTTAACCACTTTAGGGAAGTCCATTTCTGTTATAGTTGCAGAGAAGGATATGTTGCACTCATGAGCTTAGCAAGCTTACTGTTTATGTCGTTTCGTGAATTTGATATCCCACACTAGAAGTCTTTCTTTTGAGTCAAGCTAGCTTTTCATGATTATTTAATATTTACACAACTGTGCTGTTTTCTCATTTTGGGGCTAATTTCTTTTGTTTTTGGTTTCTGTTGCTGGGTTGCTGTTACTTGAATGTAAACTACATTGTCAGCAAGTGGTTTCTGCAGAAGATTGGACATGAAGGTAATGCGCTGTCACCTTTCACATACCGCAATTATGTCGGTGTCTTCTTTCTTTCCATATCAATTTGAGGTTTCTGCTTCACAATTTCTAGGTCTCAACAATTTAATAATGGCATATGAGGATAAATCAGCATATGCTATGTGTATCTTTTCTCTTGCACTTGGACCAAACACGGAACCAATTACATTTGTTGGCAAAACTCCGGTAAGTGTCCTTCGCTCTTGTAAGTTGTAACCAAATATTTCCAAAAATCAGCAAAAGTGATGCAGATCACACAACTTCACACGAGATAGCTAAAGCATAAATCTCTAATCAAGCTTGTTAACTTGTTAAGTTGTGCATGGAGTTGTGGAAGTCTGCACATCAAATCTTACCACACCACTGCAATAACAAAGAAATGATCATTGTTGACTAATTAAAAAACAAGTATCACATTAAAATACAGTACAACAATGCACAATTCAGTTAAATGACTTTCCGTAAAACACAGTTCAACACAACGTTAAATACAAAGCATACCACATTAAATACAAAGCATATGATAAATTTTTGTACAACATAAAACATTTTTTTTGAAAGAGTAAAACATAAAACATCAAAGGGGAAAATAATTAAAATACCCCAAACTTTGAAGGGGTGTGAGATAAACACCCCAAACTTGCATATGTAATTTCAATACCCCAAACTTTATATAAAAAATTATTTTAGCACCATGGTCATGTATTATTTCTTTCAAAAATGTTAATTTTTTATGTTCATTTCATAATTTGATAATTTTTAGCATTTATAAAGATACAATTAACATTCTAAGCTTCCATTGTAAAATAAATAGTACTCCGTATTACCCACCACTATATATAATTCTAATACTTTCAAATTGTTATTTTAAATTACGCATTTAACACCATAAATTTACATTTTTGAAAGAAATCATACATAACCATGGTGTTAAATTAACATTTTATATAAAGTTTGGGGTATTTAAATTACATATGAAAGTTTGTGTTGTTTATCTCACACCCCTTCAAAGTTTGGGGTATTTTAATTATTTTCCCCAACATTAAAAACAACATTAAATATTTTTGTACACAATATTGGAGTAACGAAAAAAATACAACAAAAAGACCTACACACTAAACCGACTCAAGTCAAACTTTAGAGTCTAGACAAATATTGGACCAAAAAAAGAGCGGACAACAGTCGTTATGAGCCACTAGCGACTACAGCCTGGGCGACGGAAATATAAGCAGAAGCTGGAGCGTGCGGACGATTGAACGATGAAGACGGATGGAAGCTGGAGTGTAGATGCGACTGTGCGTTTGAGAAGTTGTCGACTCGTAGATAGGTCTGTTTTTTTGTTTTATTTTGATTTTGATGGGTTCAAAGAACTGGGTTTGGGTTTGGGCCTGTTCGAAATCGATTAACTTACATTTGGGTCCTCGCTTAGGCGTCCATGGCGTGTTTCCGATGCCACAGCGACGCTGCGTCGACGCCAAATGGATTATGGCGTCTTGACCTCCCATGGCGAGCTTCAGATAGCGCCAGGATGATATAGCGACGTTTAGGCGACGCCATGACGATGCCGTAATAACTATGATTTGATGTCAATGCTTTTGTGGGGAACTTGTTGGTGGTACAGCGGAAAATGTTGGTGGATTCGTGAGAGTATGCTGACCATTTGATTTGAAGCTGAGTGGGCAGATGTGGGTGGATGGCTTTCATATCGGAGGAGAGAAGTGTCTGAGAATGATCTTTGAAATTTTATAAGCATTTGGACATGAGCACTTGGACCGCTCTCCCCCTCATGACGATTCGATGAGTCGGGATGTCATGCCTTTGTTCGTCCTTTTATTCTGCAAAATTAAACTAAAGTCCGGATACACTGAGGTGTTCTGTTATTGTAGAAAAATGTACTCCCTCCGTTCCTAAATAAACTTCCAATTTTCCTTTTTCGTCCGTTTCAATTAAAACTTCCACTTTCCCTTTTTGGTAAAGAATTTGTGGTTCACAACATTTTTTACACATTTCTCTCTCCTCTGCACAACTCTCCACCACACAATATCCACTATCTTAAACTTTGTGTCAAACGCATTTGGAAGTTAAAATCGGAACGGAGGTAGTAGCACATACATGTTATTTTTATTATTTGTACATCCGGGACTGTATAGATAGGAATTAGAGTTGATATAGGTCTCTAATTCTTAGATTAGCTCGTAGATTAGATATAATAGATAGATCCTAATTTTTACGATCTGTAACAACTTTAGTTTATCTGTAACTTGTATATATATCATTGCCGGATGGCTCAATAACATACAAGGAAAATTAATTCTTCAAACTTACATGGTATCAGAGCCTTGTTGTTTAAAACACCATAATGGTGGACACTGAACACTCTGATTCCTCCACTCACTCACAAACCCATCACCCTAACCCCCAAATTAGCCAAATGACAAATTACCAGGCCCCGGTTAATTCATCTATGCTCATTACTGGACATAGATTGAATGGAACCAACTACCTAGAGTGGTCACAGTCTGTCAAACTGGCAATAGATGGAAGAGGAAAGTTGGGATACATAACGGGTGAAGTAGAGGAGAAGAAGAATGGTGAAGATGGCTACAATGTCTGGAGGTCAGAGAACTCTTTGGTAACAGCCTGGCTTCTCAGTTCAATGGATGCATCAATCGCCAAACCTCACATGTTCATGAGAACTGAAAAAGAGGTATGGGATTCAATTAAAGAAACCTACTCAGATCTTGAGAATTCTTCTCAGATCTATGAATTAAAAACAAGGTTGTGGCAGTCCAAACAAGGAAGTAGAGATGTCATCTCATATTATAATGAGATGGTATCTCTATGGCAAGAGTTGGACCAATGCTATGATGCTGAAGATTGGGAAAGTGCCAAGGATCTGGCAAGACACAAGAAGAGAGAGGAAAATGACAGGGTCTATATATTCCTAGCAGGAATGAATAGAGACCTAGATGAAGTAAAAGACAGAATACTGGGGAAGAAACCCTTGGCCTCAATCAGAGAGGTCTTTTCTGAGATCAGGTTGGAAGATAGCAGGAGGAGGGTCATGTACAACACTCCAGTACCTAATGAGGAACCTGGGGAATCTTCAGCTTTGGTGGCCAGAAGTGATGACAACAAGAAAAAACCTTGGTGTGACCACTGCAAGAAATTGTGGCACACAAGGGATACATGCCGGAAACTTCATGGAAAACCACCAGGAGCTGGAAAGAAGAAAGTAGAGAGGGCCCTACAAACTACTGTGACTGAGACTCAACAAGAGTCAGGAGTTGAATCTAAACAGCTACCATTCACTCAGGAACAGATAGAGTACCTACTCAAATTCATACCCACCCAGAAAATCTCCAACCAAGAAAACCCTACCTGTTCTTTTGCCCAAAATGGTAAAATAACATCATTTTTTTGTTCTGAAAAACCAAAAAACACCTGGGTCATTGACTCAGGTGCAACAGACCACATGACCTACATTCCAAAGTTTTTTTCTTCTTATCAACCTTGTGCAGGAGATAAGAAAGTTAGGGTTGCAGATGGTTCTTTTTCAGCCATAGCAAGGATGGGAAATATTAAAATTTCCTCATCCATTAACCTTTCCAAAGTCTTACATGTTCCAAAACTTTCCTGCAACCTTATCTCTATTAGCAAAATAACTAAAGACCTTCAGTGTTGTGTAAAGTTTTATCCCTCTTATTGCATTTTCAGGATCTGGCATCAGGGAGGATGATTGGCAGTGCTAGAGAGGAGGATGGCCTCTATACTTTTGATGAAGGAACACAATTGAATAAACAAGGTCAAGAAAAAACTTGTTTGCAAACTATTTTCTTTCCTTGTAATAATGAAGTGTATTTAATGCACTATAGATTAGGTCACCCAAGTTTTTCTTATCTGAAAATGTTGTTTCCTAAGTTATTTCATAATAAAAATCCTTCATCATTTCATTGTGATATGTGTGCACTTGCCAAACATCATAGGAGTTCTTATATCCCTCATAGTTACAAGCCAACTAGTCCTTTTACTATTGTACACAGTGATATTTGGGGTGCATCTAGAGTTCCAACTCTGAAAGGAAAAAGGTGGTTTGTAACTATTATAGGAGGTCTTTTTACTTAAAGAAAAATCTGAGATTGAAGAAGTGTTCAAAAAATTTTACTCAATGATCCAAACTCAATTCAACACTAATATCAAAATTGTAAGAAGTGATAATGGTCTTGAGTATTTTTCTAAGAAGTTAAACAATTTTTTTGCTGAAAAAGGAATTATTCATCAAAGTTCCTGTGTAAATACACCTGCTCAGAATGGAATAGCTGAGAGGAAAAATAGACATTTGCTTGAAATCACACGTGCAATTATGTTTTCTGCTAAAATCCCAAAATATTTATGGGGAGAAGCTGTTTTACATGCTACCTATTTAATTAATAGGATGCCATCAAAAACTCTAGGATTTAAAACTCCTATTGATACTCTTCAAGCCAGTTTTCCAGAAACTAGGCTCATTAATTCTCTTCCCATAAAAATTTTTGGCTGCACAGTTTTTATTACCAACCCTGACAGAACTGCAAGCAAATTTGATCCTAGAGGCAAAAAATGTGTTTTCTTAGGACTATCTTCAACTCAGAAAGGCTATAAATGTTTTGACCCTATAACAAAAAAGATGTTTATAACTATGAACACTGTTTTTGTAGAAAATCAACCTTTTTTTGGTACTCATCTTCAGGGGGAGATTCCTAATGAAGATGGTGATAATGTGTCACATATCCATGAAAAACTTGAATCTCTTGACATTAATCTAGATGCACAATATAATAGACAGTTAGATGCACTAGAAAATAGTCAAGAGTCAAAAGAAAATGAAATAAATTTTTCTGAAACAAGGAAAGATGATGAACAGCAGACAAGTAAGTTTTTTGGCAAGGTTTATGAAAGGAGAGTTCCAAATCACAGAATAGAGGACATCCCTGATCCTGCCACTGCCCATGAATCTGACTCAATGTCAGAAAATGACAAAGGTAATAATTTCAGTGATCTAAATCTACCCATTGCTCTCAGAAAAGAAAAAAGATCATGTGTTAAATACCCTATCTCAAACTATCTGTCCTATTCTCAGTTATCTACATCATTTGCAGCCTTTACCTCTAGTCTTTCCACTGTTTCTATTCCCTTAACCATACAGG